TCCCTCCCTCCTCACCTACCTCCGCGTTGTTTCGTATGCATAACGTTTTGCTGTACGCGCACGCGTTATGTTTGCGGTGTTATTTGCTTTTTGTGCGGAAATGGTATTTCTTTCTTTTACTATCAATATCGGAAGGAAGAGAGAACCCGCATGGCGCCAATGGCCTCTTACGACTGTGAGAAATAAAGCAGGCCGATCTTATCAGCTTCCCCCTCCCCGTCCCGTCCCGCCCCAACCCTTATCCTGCTCTCCGATGCAACGTTCTCCCCAACAGTTTTCGCGCGCATACTCTGCTTCTCGCTCCAACCGAAAAGTTGTTTTGCTTTTTTCAAACGGAGAAAAAATATATAAAAGTCGGTCCGAAAATAAAGCAGAATGGGTGACGCCGCCTTCGCAGAGCAAGGCGCGGTCGGGGGCGCGGTCGGGGGCGCGGTCGGGGGAGTGGCCGGTGGATGGGGTGGGGAGGGATATTATGAGTGAGCGCGGGGCCGGCCGGGCCATCGCGCCGCGTTACAAGTCGAGCGCTTCACGCTTTTACGGCGCCAAACTTTGAATAGACGCGCGCTGCCGCCGAGACTGCTGCGCGCCGCTTCTAACCGGGATTTGCACGCCGTAAATTTTGAGCCCGACGCGCTTGCTGCGCTCGCTTGTTGGTCATGGTCGGCGCGCGGTGCGATGTGGGTGTGCATCCCCCCTCCCCCACCTCTCATCCCCCTGGCTGTAGCGTGATGACAATAACGCCCCTAACACTGTTGCTTGTCTGCAGCGGATGGGCACGGCGCACGGCGAGGAGCTGCCCTTCGTGTGGGGCGCGCCGCTCGTGGGCGGCTGGCCGGGGCCCTTCGCCCGCAACTACACCAAGGCCGAGGTGGGCCTCTCGGAGGCCATCATCATGTACTGGGCCAACTTCATCCGCACTGGGTAAGTATTCGAGGGTCGGCAGGGGTCTGTGTGCATGGAGATGCTGCTCTTTTGTCTCTTTTTAGCTCCTTTGGAATGAAGAATATGTACTTCCGTCAACTACAGCACAGCATTTGCTCTCCCTCGTTGAGGGTCCACTAGACCTTGACTGTTTTTTTTTCTTTCTTTGTAAACATGTACCATTTTGTGGAGAAGAACCATGATCACAGTCAGACTATAGTCTATTTTTCCGTACAAATGAAGAGGTCGGTTCAGGAAGAACGAGTTTCAATCATAACGAATGACCGAAGTCTATTCTGTACAGAGGATATTAGGTTAAGAGTGTCGCTAAGCTTGACTTTGCGCTGTTATCAACGACATTCCCACCTTCGCGTTTAAATGTTGCCAACTGTTTAATGCCGCCACAGTCGTTATAAACGTCGCGTCGGTCTCCGCGAGTGGAGGCACATTAGCCGCCTCAGTCCGTCCCCCTGAGTACCCCCGCAAAGGGTTGCCGCCGACGTCTGCCGCTCGGCTTTGGCATGCGCCAGCGCGGTTCCGATTGCAAAAGGAAGTTGATGAATTAACCAAGGCCACTCGTAATGCGCAAAGGTTGTCTGCAGCCTTAATGCCGAGGAACGCGCGATGTCTCTGAGAGGAGCTCGGCGCTGGCTGGCGAGCTGTGGGGCGCGAGGCGCGGGACGGCTCCCCCGGCGCGGGACCTCTCCTCGTGCTTCTAATCTGAAGGGGAAGCAGGTCCTCTGGCATTCTTTTCGCCTTTGTTATCATTATCTGCGTCACAATCCCGCGGCGGGAACAGCGGTGACGCCTCACTTGATGATTGCGCTTGTTGTCTGGGTTGTCTGTCATCATTGTGGGTTCACCGCTAACGCTTGCGTCCCCGCAACACTCTGGCGCCGGCCTTTGTTTGCTCTCAAGGACGTTTGTTGAACGTCTCGTCGGTTGGCGTGGCGCCGCCAAACGCCGCGAGTGCTCTCCTCATGTCGGTCGGCGCTGCCGAGACTTCGCCGTGGCATCCACGTGGAATCTACACTGTTAAAATCATGCGAAGCAATGCTCACCAATTGCTAAGGATTTTGATTCGTAACTACGAAGCATTTTTCTTCACAATTGCGAAGAAATGCTTCTTTGCAATTGCGAAGAAATGCTTTGCAATCACTACGAAGTTCGTAGTAACCGGTCCATTTCTACAAATCGACGCGATTACGAGATTTGACGTCGAGTCGACATGAATCACGCAGATTAATGTTCAGTCACCGTCGCGCATCTGTGGGGATAGTGTGACGTGGACGGGGTACCT